CCAGGAGGGCGATGCTGCCAGCTCGGTCCAGTAGCCCCTTCTACCTGGTCATGCTTCCCATGATGCGCTGCTCTAGCGAGGCAAAGGCGGCAGCAGCGCGGGGCAGAGTTTGCAGTGAGGGCCGGAGGTTTGGAAAACAGACAGGACTTCTTGCATTTCCTCTCCTGGGATGGATGTTTTGTTTCCAGCGGAGAGCACTGCGGGAGCTCCCCTCCATCCCCCATCCCCCGCCCTCCCCGGACAGCAGCTCCTGAGGCTAAAAACCCTATGGCCACATTGGAAGCCCCCTCTCTGCTCCCCAGGCTGGCACTGGGAGGAGAAAGCGGGTGCTGGAGTTTGGCATTGCACACCATCAGCTTTTCCTCGGGGCTCCAAAGGGCGCGACTTCTTTGTTAGGGAGGGAAACCCCGCGGAGCCCCGCATTTAACACTCAAACTGCCTGCACCGCGGGCTGCGCCTCCCGCACGCACGCAGACGGTCCAAGTCCGTGAGGACACCTGCGCGCTTTGTCCGCTGGCGACGCGGGCATGGGGTGCACGCCCCATTCTTCTTGAGCTCGCCAGTGTTTTGTCCTCACTGTATCCAATTAGGGTGAGTGTGCAGCGTCACATACCGAAACACTTTGAATATCATGTAACAGGGAGCTGGCTACAGACAGGCTGCAAGATTTATGACCATTTCCGAATGGACTGAGTCCTCTATTGTTCCCTCGGCGTAAGCTCTAAGGAGGGCTCTAGGAAAAGGCCGAAAAGAGGGAGCAGCCGCCTGCTAGGCCCAACTCCCACCTGCGCTTCCAGAAATGTCATTCTTCTGTGTGGCCTCCTTGGGATGAGGCTGCGAGTCTGGTGTTTTGGGGTTTGTTTTGTGTTTGCTTGCTTCGTTTTGCTTTTCATGTATTTTTAGACAGTAAGGTACCAAAGAGGGAGGGAGAGTGTTACTTGGGCACTTAAAAAAGTTTTAAACACATATGAAACCCCCTTCAAGCTCCCTATGATCGTGTCAGGGATGCTCCTGTGATTGCCCCGTAATATGGGGCGTTCCTTCATCATTGACACGTTGTCTTTAAAAAACGAGAATGGCTAGAATGAGAGGGGTGATAGCCTGGCCCCGCACCCCGTCTTTTCTTCAAGTGTGGCATGCACTGGGCAGCAAGGGCATGGGGCCTGGGTGGCTTCTGCCCAGGGAGAGGTGCCAGGGGTGCTGTTGGCACTGGCCCTAGGGAGCGGGGTCCTGTTGCAGGCATCCCCTGGCAGTGTGGGAGTCACTTCAGCCGCTGTAGGAACTCAGATCACTGGACTGAGCACCCTCGTTCAAGTTCAAGTTCAAGGATTCTCCTGGTGGGTTCTACCCCAAACTTTGGAGAAACTCTATCCGAAAGGCTCTGAGAGGAGGCATTGTTCTGTTTTTATTTCTTAGTCTTTATTTCTTTACAAATGCAAGTGTATTTCCTTCCAACCCTAGTTACATCCGGGCCCTTGGTGCTGGGATGCCCTGCGCTGAGGCTGAGGGTGGGAGGTGGAATAAGAAGGCGCAGAGCGAGCTGGTCCCTCTGCCATGCTTTCAGGGACAGGTCTGGGAGCCGGGGACA